TGGTGTAGGCTGGAAAGCTTGATTAAGTTGCAGTTACAGACAGACACAACACAGACGGTCTCGTGGAGGTTGCTAGGCTCCACGGTGCAGAGCTCCGGATGCTCTGGGTGAACAGGCCATCAATGTAGAAATCGTAAATACGTCTTATATTAGTCGCGCTCGAAGACGGGAAGAGGTGGGTGGTGGATCAGGCCGCCACGCTCCTCTGGATCTCACACAGGGTTTCTATTACCCTGCCATGTACCCAGAGTCCCCACGAGATGGATGTGGAGTCCTCTTCGGCTTGGGCGGAAACTGCTCAAGCCTCTTATACGGCTAACAGGCCAATCGCTAGCCACCACGTGTGAATAATTTAGCACTAGCCAATCACGGGGAACGAATTTGCATACTGGTGGCGGGAACTCTTTTGCACCGTGCATTCCTCTTGCAACTCGAGCAATGCACTCTGCAAAAGAAGCTGCAGAAAAGGCGGGAAACTGGTCCCTGCACCGGAGTTTCCTCTTGCTACAGGAAACTCCCGTGCAATGCTCTGCAACTTAACGTGGATAATTCTGACGCCGAAGCACACACACACAATCATGCCTTTTGGGTCATGACAGAGAAAACCCTCTGACTTGCAATATCCTTAAACTTTGGCCTGCAGTCTCACCCTTGGGTGAGAAGACTATTCAGTTCCTATATTCAGTTACTCTTTGTCCACCCTGGTGAGCCAACCAGTAAGGATAACAAAACATTTTTTGGGATTTTGAACCCAGTCCTAGAAGATGCTACAAACTCCTGATCTCATAATAGTTCCTAAATATTTAGCAGGTGCTGGGATTCACCCCTATGAAGCATCCTGAAGGATGGGGACTTTTTGACTTGTGTGACTGCTAGGATGCAGACAAAACCCTCTTGCTCCTTTCACATTACTGAAACATACTTTCTCACTAGAAGTGAATGACTTGATACTACCAACCCATGTTAGCTTAGAGCTATAACATGTGAAAGTCTGCTGTCTCAGAAACATGAATAGAGATGCAGGAGCAGTTCTTTCTGGGTAGAAGGAGCCAATGCCATAAACAAGGTCTCCCAAAATGCAACTTCTAGCTGTACAATAGACATGAAAGGACTTTTTGCCTCAAGTATTGTGCAACAATGTCTGAAGTACTTTGAAATCCTCATGCATAACAAACTACAAGGTAAATGTGAAATAATAAGGAAAATAATATGGCAATTCTGATTTCTGAGCAAAAAGCACACTGATGATCTGGGCAGGGACTAAAGTTTTGCCTCATGTTTATGGGGCAAGAATATTTACGATACTCCCATGAGTGCTTAAAACTGTGCATGCTAACTTTCAAGTAGATACATGAAGGCAATAAAAGTGTTGCCTAGAATCAGGGTTTTAGTTGCACCTCCATGCACCAGCTTTCTTTTTAGTTTTTTAAATGGGAAGTGGAGCTAGCGAGGGGAGGACTCAGTTGAGGGGTATCCTGCTGTTGGATGGGTTTCCAGAAGAGATTGGACAAGTCAAGCGTGACTACTTTATCATCATGCTGAAAGACCTTTTCCTTTGATAGTCTTTCGGTAATTAGGTTTATAGCAGCAATTGTCCTTCCTCTACTCCTCAAAGCAGAAACTACATTTAGGAGAGTTCTTGATGGCTGGGAAAGGGGAGAAGGGACCACTGTGCCACTAACAAAAATGAGGCACTTGTGTTCTACATTGGTGAGCCCCTGTACAAGACCTTGGTGGTAAATTTGGGGGAGTGTGGGAGTTAGCATGATTCCAGGGGCAGATCCAGAGGGGCGCGGTGGTGCAAGTGCACCTGCCCTTTCAGTTGATGCCATGGCAGAAGCAGCAACTGAAGCTTTTATTTTTTTAACTTCTTGAATTGGGTAAGAAATTCCCCCCTCTCTTCACCTTCATGCTCAGGGGCACCTCCCCTCCCCTCTCCTCTGGCTGCTGCTGTCCCAAGCTGGGGCAGGACTGTTCCTACTCATTCAAACTAGGCTCCATGGGAAGCCAGGTTCAGCCAGAGAGAGATCAGCTTGGGAGGGTTCCTTTTCCCTGCCTGCTCTCCTCCCGGTGTTTCCTGCCATGGTGGGAGAAGGCACAGGGAAAGGGTACTTGTTTGCTTCTGCTATCTCTAGTCAAGCCTGGCTCCATGTGCAATCTGGCTGGAGCAAGTTAGGAGAGGCTCTGGAACCTCCCTCTACCCCCTGGTCAGCTAGGACAGTGGGGATAGTTGTAGAGGAGCAGAGAGGAGGGAATATGCTGCTAAGCATGAAGGAGAAGGGAGATGGGGAAGGGGAGATTGTTACCTTACTGTGCACCTTGAAAAAAGACCCTGGCTGCTTTTTCTGTGGTACAGTCTGCCTGCTGTGGTAGAGGGAGGAGCGGGTGGGGGTACAGTCACACCCACAGTGGCAGTCGCTGATCCCACACCCGCCTCTTAAAAATCTTGGATCTGCCTATTCATGGTTCCTAATTTAATCTGGAGCAGTTTCAGAACATATTCTAATTCATGGCAACCCTCCCAGAGTTTGTGAACTGCTTCACAGTCCAGAATAGTTGGAGTCTAATTCTCTTGCGCTCTTATTTCTCCCAACCGAAATATCACTCCTATACTGTGAGTCCCCATTAAAAAAAACCCATCTCTGGCCTTCTGTATGAAAGCATTGCAGCAAGAAGGCAGCACTTCATCAGTCAGGTTTGCCTTTTCCATCTGTGGCCAGTGTAGGCGTCAAATTGTATGGCTGAGCAAATATTTATGCATGTCTGCAGTGAGGTTTCTCTTTGTACCTGAGACAAACCAAACTTATTTAAGTGGAGTTACACCAAGGATGGGTTTGGCCCTACAGCTCCAGTTGACTCAGTCAGTTTCAACACAGACCTTCTCCATGAGCAGTCATTTACTTTTTAGCTCTAATCTGAAAGCATTTTTTCTCCATTCCACTTCTGAACAATTACTAATGTAAGCCTCATTTCTAAAGTTGTATCAATAGAAAGTTCAAGAAGAGTCAACACAGAATCTTTGAATGATGTCAAGGCAAGGGAACAATATTTTCCTTCTCTCTTCTTACTTTGTTGATTTGCTGCATCTTTCATCATGTCTTAAGAATATATTGATGATAGGAGCATGCTTGGAATAACTGGCTTTTTGGTTTTGCTTTGGCATTTAATCACACTCAAAAGCCACTCATTACTGTGTATGGTTCTCTGCTGTGAATAGTCACTCTTATTTCTCCACCAGAATTTAAATGCTAAAATATTTGCTCAACATTACACTCTAGTTACAAAATTGATGAAATGACTATTGTTTGTATGTTTATCTTATTTCTGTCTCATAATGTTATTTACACTTTTTGCCATTTTAAAGAACATAAGCAGTGCCATACTGCTGGGTCCAACCAATGGTCTGTCTAGCCCACTAGACTGTGGCAATAGTAGATTCTTTAGAGGGAGAGTATATGAACAGAGCATATCTAGAGGGGTCAGTCCCATTACATCCTCTCTGGGTATCCATCATCATTGTTTTAGGGATGCCAGAGGATCCCTGACTGTTTTGTTGAATACCTATTAATGGATCTGTCCTCCCTGAATCTGTCTAATCCTTTTTGAACCTGGCTATGCTATGTGCCTCTTCAACATCTTGGGGTAATGAGTTTCACAAATTAAATATGTACTGCACAAAAAAGTACTTAATTTTGTTTGTTTGCAGCCTGTCTCCTGCTAATTTTAGTAGATGTTCTCAAGTTTTAGTACTCTGGGATTTGGTGAATAACAGTTTACTTTACCTACATCTGTCATGATTTTATAGACCTTTTCATATCCCCCCATCCACAGTCTTCTTCTTTCCTAAAGAGCCTGAAGAGCCTTTTAAGTTTCTCAAGATACAGGAACTGCTCCATACTTCCAGTCATTAGTTGGCCTTCTCCATACCTTTTCTCTTCCTACTATGTCCTTTTTGAGACGTGGAGACAGACAGACCTACACACAGTACTCAAGATGTGCATGCACCATGGAGTTATGTAGTGGCATGATGATTTCCATTTTTTGTTTTCAGTTCCTTTCTTAAGGATGCCCAACTTTTTATTGGCTTTTCTAGTCCCTGTTACACATTGAGCTGATGTTTTTGGAAAACTATCTACAATGACTCCAAGGTCTCTGGAGTCCCTTATGTAGATAGGTTATGTTGGCATGTTATATTTACATTTGATACTTCTAATCACAGGTTTCTTTGTAAAATACCCCGGGATTCAAGTATTATCTCCATGTTATATATGGGGAAACTGAGGCAGAAATGTCAAGTAACTTGCCTAAAATCACACAGTAGGTAAGTGGCAAAGGAGGGGTCTTTCTCTGGGTTAGTGACCTGTCTATTGGAAGATATCAACCCTCTTTTAATAATATATTAAAAGAAGTAATCTCATTTTTCTTGGAGATTTCTATCCCAATTGGTCCAAATCATATTTGAGCATCTGAATCTACTGTATTTTCCCTCTAAATACTTGAAAAATGCAGTGTTTAAGGAGTGAAAATCTGATGCCATTGATTTTGATAAGATCTGGATTTGGCTCTTAGTTTTGTAACACTGATTTGTTATGCAAAGTGAAGCCATGGTCCTATTTCTTTTCATTTGCACATTTCCCTAGTAGATGGACCAGTCAATTATTCCACAGCCTTGCTAGACAATAGCAGGCAGCTTTTACAAGCTGTGCTCTAATCTATGCCATGGACGCAAGTGAATCTCACCTTCTATTTTTAACAGCAGAGTCATATTTGTAAACCTCACTGAAACATGCTCAAGAAAGCAAAAAAACACTAGAACTGCAGCTCAGTTTTCCAGTCCTGCTTTGCCCTCAGGAACTTAATGAACATGTACAGGAAAGACTTCAAAATTAGACAGTTTGGTGGCATTACTAAACATATACAGCATCTTAAATCCAAACACAAGACATAAACTTCTAAGAATGCACTGCTGCAGGCTCCATGTACAGAAAGGTCAGTCTGTATTCATAACAGGCTATTCCTCTGTGTGTATTATAATGCTCTCCCTGATTTTTTTTTCCATGCAAGTGAAGAGTCCTGAACCTTGGGGCGATGCTGTCTCAGGGTAGGGACCATGGAGGCAATTTGGCAGGCAATGCTCATTTCCTGCAAGGAAGAGAAAGAGAGGAGAGATGTATTCTTCTGAATGATTGAATTTGAACTGGTGGTTGTTTCCTTGCACATGAATGCATCCCATTCTCTTCAGTGTGGGGAGGATAGTGGCGCATAGATGCAGCACTGGAGAAACCTCCCACAGAAACACAGGAATTGACCTGCTGTATCAGAACCAAAGTTCTCTGTCTGGGGCCGGGGGCCGGTACCAGCTCCTTCAGAGGAAGGAATGAGGGGCTCCGTAGGAGGTAGATATTGGGGCGGCCTGCCCTCCTCCCCAGTCCTAGGGTGGGCAGCAGGGATGTGTCTGTGTTGGCTGGAAAGAAACAGAAAGATGAAGGATGGGTTCTTTTTCCTTCTCAATCCCATTCCCTCCACCTCCTCCTCCCCTAAAACCTTCTGTTTATCAGAATGAGGGGGCATTGAGAGGAAGTAGAACAGGCCATGTTCTGCCTTTCTCCTCTGTCAATAATTTAACACCTGTGTGGTGTGTGTCCTCTGTGTGTCTGTGTCTGTCCATCCGTCCCGTGTGTGAGTGTCCATCCTCTGTATGTGCATGTGTCCATTGTGCGTGTTCATCCTGTGTGTATGTCCATCCTCTGTGTGTGTGCATGCCCATTGTGTGTGCGTGTCCATCCTCTGCATGTAGTCATCTTGTGTGTGCGCGCATGTCCATCCTGTCTGTGTGTGCGTGCGTCCATCATGTGCATGTCCATGCTGTGTGTGTGCGTATCCATCTTATGTGTCCATCCTCTGTGTGCATGTCCATTGTGTGTGTGTATGTCCATCGTGTGCGTGTCCATGCTGTGTGTGTGCATGTCCATCTTGTACGTGTCCATCTTGTGTGTGTCCATCCCGTGTGCATGTCCATCGTTTGTATGTGTGCGTGTCCATGCTGTGTGTGTCCATCTTGTGTGTCCATCCCGTGTGCATGTCCATCGTGTGTGTGCGTGTGTCCATTGTGTGTGTGTCCATGCTGTGTGCGTGCGTGTCCATCTTGTGTGTGTCCATCCCGTGTGCGTGCGTGTCCATCGTGTGTGTGTCCATCCCGTGTGCATGTCCATCGTTTGTGTGTGTGTGCATGTCCATTGTGTGCGTGTCCATGCTGTGTGCGTGCGTGTCCATCTTGTGTGTGTCCATCCCATGTGCATGTCCATCGTTTGTGTGTGTGTGTGCGTGTGTCCATCGTGTGCATGTCCATGCTGTGTGTGTGTGTGTCCATCTTGTGTGTCCATCCCCTGTGTGCATGTCCATCGTGTGCGTGACCATGCTATGTGCATGCGTGTCCATCTTGTGTGTGTCCATCCCCTGTGTGCATGTCCATCGTGTGCGTGACCATGCTATGTGCATGCGTGTCCATCTTGTGTGTGTCCATCCCGTGTGCATGTCCATCGTTTGTGTGCGTGTCCATCTTGTGTGTGTCTATCCCCTGTGTGCATGTCCATCGTGTGTGTGTGTGTGTGTCCGTGTCCATCCTGGGCGTGTGAGTGCATGTCTGTCTGCTGTGTGCGTGTCCATCCCGTGTGTGTGGTGGGGGGAGCTGTCGGCGGGGTGGGGGGCACCTCGCATCTCCACCGGCACCCCTGGGCGGGCGGCGGAGCGCGGGAGGCGGCGGCGGCAGACCCCGCTCCATCCTCCGCCGTCATCTGCACCTTCCCCCGCCCGTCTCCCCGGCCGGGGCGGGCTGTGGTCCTGGCGGTTTGTCCCCCGCCTCCCCCAGCCCCTTTCTCCTCCCCCGCCTCGGTCCCGTTTGCAGGAGGCAGCAGACACTGCATCATTTTTTTTTGCACAGGCTGCAGCGGCGGCGGCGGGGAGAGGAGGAGCAGGTGGAGAGTGAGAGACTGCAGTGGAGCTGCCCTCGAGACATGGCGGAGCGGGGCCTCTGAATAAGCAAAAATCCCCCCCCTCCCCTCCCCGCCTGCCTCCCCCTCCCTGCCCGCCCCCGATGCTGGGCGGCTGCTGAGCGCCAAGGAGAAGGCGAGGAGCGGGCAGAGGACAAATGCTGCAGCCGCCTGGGCTCTGATTCCTGCCCCTTCTCCTCCATGTCGCATCTCCCTCCCGTCCCCCGCGGCGTGTAGCAGCTGCTGCTGCCGCCCGGAGCCGGTGCCCCGCATCCAGCCAGCCCTGCTCCCCGACCCCCGCCAGGGCTATGGCCGCAGAAGAGGTGCTGCACAGCGTGGATCACTATAAGAGCGAGATCGAGAGGCTGACCAAGGAGCTCACGGAAACCACCCACGAGAAGATCCAGGCCGCCGAGTACGGGCTGGTGGTGCTGGAAGAGAAACTCACCCTGAAGCAGCAGTATGACGAGCTGGAGGCTGAATACGATGGCCTCAAGCAGGAGCTGGAGCAGCTGAAGGAGGTGAGTTTGCTGATCCAGTGCACCCCCCACCCCTGCACCAGCTTGCACGAAGCAAAATGCAGGCGGGAGAGAGGCCTCAGGACCTCAGCTGACTTGCTGGGCTCTGCATCAGTGTACCTGAGCCTCTTGATCAGGCCCCAGGGGGCCTGGGGATAGCATGGGTGTGTGGAGGCATGAACTCATGAGATGGGGAGGAGTGATTTCTTTCCCAACTCCAGGATCAGCCTTGGGCTTGGGGCTTAAGAGGGGATTATGCCACATCTTCAACCGCTTGCTGTTCAGAATTCCAGGGATGCCCAGACACGGTTCTTTGGGTGAATCTGAGCTCGTTTCTTTGACCAATTTACAGTAGTTGGACATTTTTTTTCTTAGCCAGCTTTTGGGTTTAAAAACCCTTCGTCAGGCTGAGGAAGCCTCTGCAGTTGGTGTGTGCTCTTCCTGGATGGAGTGATACCCAGGGGTTGCCATAACCCGGGTAGTGAAGTGCCGGTTGAGAGTCACAACTGGTCTGAGCAGGCGTTTGCAGCACCTTGAAAAGAATACTTTGGTCCTACCTGAATTGTCTGGTCCTGATTCAGGAAGGGATGTAACGGCTGGATGAAAGCTGCATAGTTCTGGTACATCAATAGTGGGGGGCTGCAGAAACAGGATGTTGCAATATATTGAGGAAAAGAGGCGAAACCTCTTGGAGTTATTTATAGCCATGTTTTATTTTTACCAGTTAGGGGAGCCACCATCATACAGGAGGGGCAAAACAAGATAGTCATGAGGTCACCTGTAATGAGTGAAAATTAAACTTCTGTATCATCCTCAAAGGATGAAGCTGGAGTGTCTTTCGATGGAGTTTGTGTTACATGCAAAATATAATCTTGAGTTTCGCATAAAACCTTTTGTAATGTACACTTTTGTATTTCTGGGTGAACTTTGGAGCTCATCATTATCCATATTTTTTTATTAAGTGTAGTAACAGATTCATCCATGGAACATATACTGAAACTACAGAATGGTTGTATTTGCCTGTACCTGTGCAGCATCATCCTGTTTGTCCTGTATGAAATAATCTTTGCACTTTAAAATATTGACACATCTGTCTGTAAGGACAATTGGAGTAAATATTTTTCTTTTTGTCATCTCTTTTTAAAAACGGCTGTTTGGAAAACTTGAGGTAATATTTTCTTGTTCTGAAAAAAATAATCAGCATGTATAATGTTGAGAAGACCTATTTCAGTGATTTTTTTTTTCAACCACGGTGCCATGAGATCCTTTTAAGGGTGCCAGGGGTGCCACATAATATTAGCAAACACCTACACATGGTTCACAAGATAAACACAGATATTTTAAATGGGAATGCATAATTCTAACTAGTTGTGGTTTTTCTGAGTTCTTTGTAACAGAAAAAGGCTCTTATTTTTCCATAGTTAATAAATGGGTGAAAGTGAAGAGCTGGTGTTTTCTAGTCTGTCAAGGTTGATAACCACTGACCTATTCAGTGAAAAATTATGAATTAAACATTTTGCATTGAAATGGTCACTTAGTGACAGACAGCATTATATATACTTATGCTTTTGAACATTTGAGTTTATGCAGCTCTTTAAGTATTTGTTAATAAACATAAAGATTTAGTTTTATCTGCAGATGAATGTGATGAGCTTTGCCCTAGTGACCAGAACAGGTTTTTCTGAAAAATGTTTACATGTGTGTGGGGAGAAAATACGATTTTTGAAAACTGTCTGATGTCCTGTGCTGTTCAGACTCATGCTCTTATGAAACTCTCCCCCAGAACTTGCTGAGCCAATGCAGAGGGCTCAGTGTTTAAATCCAGTCATCTGAGCTTCAAGGATCGCCATAGGAAACTTGTACAGGCACAAGAGCTGTATTTGATCAAATGACCTAGCAGAAAAAGGAACGTAGAATGAAGATACCACTGGAAAACATTTTTCTCCTTCTTTTTCTTAAAAATTGCATCTGTACCTTGTGATTATCTCAAAATAGTGCTACAGCACTGATCAGAACCTAGGTAGGACACATGGTTAAGTGCTGCCATAAGGACAATTGTTGAATAGGAAAAATTTGACTAGAGTAGTTATTCAGACAGTGAAGCCTGTGTTGACAGTATTGACTGAAATTAGAAAATATGCAGGCAGAAATTCTGTTCTGATTGGCACTCATTTGAAGCCCATGGGGTACATATCAGCACAGAACTGAGCCCCTGCAACTAAGTTCTTGTCGTTGTTCTAAGACCTGGGCTGGGGGTGGGCAATTATTTGGGCTGTAGGGCCACTTAAGGTGTTTTGGTGAGCTGTTGAGGGCCAGGGAGTTGTAGGGGAGGAGTTGGAAGGAGTGCTGACCCAGCCTGGGACCCCTGCAGGAAGGGCATACTCGGCCAGGGGGATAGGATGGGGCCACAGGCAGGCAGGGACCAGTGTCCATGCCCCTGCCCATGGAACCAGTGCCCACTGCAGGGATGTGTGGGGTGTGGATTGCAGCTCTGCCCCAGGCCCTGGGCCTGTGCTGTCACTACCTTGCCATCTCATCTCAGCCTGCCTGTCCCACTCCCGGACACCACCCCCCACCCACCTGCAGCCTCATCCTATCTGCATGGCCAAGTGCGCCCTGCCTGTGTAGGTCCTATGCTGGTCCATGGAGACTCTGCCAACCTGCTCCATCTGGCACCCCTGGCAGTAGGTGCAGGGTGGATGGGTTGTGGTGCCTGGGTAGTGGGGGATGGGTCTGGCAGCAGTGGTGGAGACATTGACAGGGCCAGCTGGAAGTGTGAGGGCAGAACAGGTTGCTGCTGTGGGGTTACCAGGAAGCTGAGTTCAACTGCTGTGCCCTGCTGCTGCATTGCCTAGTCCTGTGGGCTACAGCTCCAGGTGTGCCTGAGAGCCATGTATAAGGATAGGTTGGGCTGCACTCTGCACCAGGCAGCACCTCTATGCCTGGGGCAGCAGGACCTGATGTATGCACCACAGCCAGGGCTGCCGCCTGCACCTTGGCCAGGCACAACAAGGGACCCACCACAGGCTGGATAGAATCACTTGGCCGTCCAGATCCAGCCCGTGGGCCATATTCTTCCCACCCCTGGCCTGGGGTGTGCATAGAACCTATCCATTGAAGGATGAAGGAGAAAATTCCTTTGGTTCACTAGAAGGCAGATAACAATAGAGGCACTCAACGTATGATAATTTGGACCCAGGCTCCTGCTTCTCTCCAACCCACACAGGTAGAGGAGGGCTCTACCAGTGCTGTGCCTGCTGCCACACAGGGCAGGTTCACCCCTGAATAGGCTCCAAGAACTCTTTGCTCCCTTCCACTCTCTGTGGAAGAACCACATTGATTCTGTTGTACAGTCTAGATATTTAACTGATTTTTAAACCTGGACATCTGGCTCTTGCAGGTGTGAGTGGAGGCAGGATGGTTGTGGACAAAGGGAAGATCTAGATGTCACCTCCAAGGGCAGGTCTTGCCCCTGGATCTGCCTCTCATCGTAATCTGGTTTCGCAATGTAGGCTTTTGAGCTACCAATTATCACCAATTGCCTGCATATGGATCCCTGATAATTGTGCAAAGGAGGCAATGTTTCTGTGTTGACATTTTACAATTAGAATTTAAGCTGAGGTGGTACAGACAAAATGGATTCAAGCAGTTTTGGTTGTAAGGAGGCATGACTGAAACTGAGAATGGTATTATGGGCTGGAAGCTGTCCCAGCTCACAGCTTCCTTCGAAACATGTGCATGCTGGCCTCTCTATGTTCTTTCTAACAGGCACTGCAGAGGATGTTGTGGGCCTAAGATGTGGTCTATGTGTATATAGGCATCTAAACAGTAGGTGATGGCAGACATCCAAACTCGTAGCAGTTGTAGATATTTGCATTTCTATGAGAGTGTGTGGGTGTGCACGCGTGTGTGTGTGCACATGCTTTGCAGGGAGGGGGAGAAAATCTATGTAGTTGGGGTGGGATCTTTTTGAATATTTATCACCATGTATTTGCACATTTTCTGAAGTCATATAGATAGTGATATAACATTTTGGCTTAGATTTGTACTCAAGATAGTATTCAATTCAATAATTAAGCTTCTACAAGCTGCTGTTAACAACCAGTTGCCCTTTATCAGTGAATTGACATACCTTTGACTCCTGAGTAATTGTGTCCTTCTGGACCTATGTGCATATTGTAAAGTCAAATCCTGCAATCCTTATTCATTCAAAACTGTCATTGACTTTAAAAGAGACTTTTCCTTAAGGACTGAAATATGGAGCCTCAGATATTTAATATCATATTTTTCAGCATTGTAGAATGAGATGGGAAAGTGAATTCATGATAGGAAGAAGCAACACGAGCAATTGTAATGCATTACATTAAATATTAATTTTGATACGTATGATTCATGCCATGCCAGCATTAAAATGCAAATTGCTGTGATAACCATTTGAAATTCCTGGTCCTGTATTTCAATGGGTATACTTTTAAACAAAGACTTTGGTGTTTTGAGACATTAGGGTGATGCATAATACAAAAAACATTGAGGCTGTAATCAATGATCTAATACAGAGCTGCTCTTCTGGTATTTAAGGTATTTATTATATTATGTCTGCTTTCCAGATTTAAAGAGCATTCACTGGGAAGAATTCAAGAGTCCTTCAGCTATTACCCTTATGTTTACAAAAAAGTGAACCAATTAATAGGATGGTGAAAAGTGAAATTGTATCTTATTTTACAGCTTTCATGGTCTTGTAACACACAATAGTAATAGTTTTAGCTTTCAGGCAGGACTGTAGAAAACGTTTTAACTGGGTAACAGATTTTCATGAATGTTAAAATCTGTATTTAGATTTGTTGATATTTTTTTCCAGTTTCAAAGTGATGATTCTTTTTCTCGTGCTTTACCGTTCAAGTATAAAAACTCAATTCTGAGTCCCTCTGAGTCTTACAGGCCACTGGACTGGTGTGGTTAAAAAACATAAGAAAGTGATGTGATTAGCATCACAACCACCCTCCTCTGACTCCCTAGCCCAAATGACTGGCTAGCTATTTACAGTTGGGTCAACCAGGGGTGGCCTTCAGTATGAGCCTAGAGCAGTTGTCAACCTTTTTTTCATTTGTGGACCCCTTTGGAAATTTTGAATAGAGGTGTGGACCCCTTTGAATTGTAAGTGTGGGTATTCACATACTTTGGATTGATCACAGTCATCGGACCCCGAGGGGTCCACAAACCACAGGTTGAAAACCA